TTAGTGCAGGCAGAGGATCTGATGGTAGGGGGTTGGTTGCTTTATGGGAGGAATTTGTTCCTGAATGGGATGTAGAGGGGATGATTTGAGGTGTGAATGGCTTCTTGTCATGTCTGCAGTAGAAGCCTGAGAGAAACATGAAGTAGCAAAAAGCTGCACAAATGCTCAAAGGAAGCAAAACGCAAACACTAATCTTATCATGCACATGCAACCAAGTCAGTGCATCCATAAATGCACAGAATACAAATTATGTTTATTCTATACTTATAGCGTGTTTCAGCATTAGTTCTCATGCATTATTCCACAGCGGCCTAATAGATACAGAGCAATCATTTTGTTTCATTATTTCAGTACAAATACATCTGCACAAAAAATACAAAACAACAGGCTAACCTTTTGTTTCTTCAAACTGGTTCATGCTAAAAATAATCTAAAAGAACTTTAGAAAACAGTTTCTACCGCTTATTCCATAGTGGGTCGCGGGGAAGCTGGTGCCTATCTCCAGCAGTCTATGGGCGAGAGGTGGGGTACACCCTGGACAGGTCGCCAGTCCATTGCAGGGCAACACACAAACAACCAAGCACACACTCATTCATACATCTAAGGGCAATTTAGAGTGACCAATTAACCTAACAGGCATGTCTTTGGACTGTGGGAGGAAGCCAGAGTACCTGGTGAGAACCCACACATGCACGGAGAGAACATGCAAACTCCATGCAGAAAGACCCCCGGCCGAGAATTGAACCCAGGACCTTCATCGTGCAAGGCAACAGTGCTAACAACTGCACCACCGTGCAGCCCACTTCAGAAAACAATGAACACAAAAACACTTTAATAAAACAGCTTGATGCACTTCCTCTGATGTTGTGTTGAAGTGTGTAAGACAGGAAATATAGTTATTGTGAGCACGAATAAAGAAATTAGGTTTTAATTGGCAGATTATGTTCTCGTTTTGGCTCATTAGAGAGATAATGTTTTAATTGAAATCACAAGAATGTAGCATTTCCTGGATAATTGAGACATACACAATACACTGACATATCCCACAATAATTATCACATTTTCTGTGGAGGGAAAAGGAGGAAGAAGAGGGGGATATAACACTCGCCTACACCTACAATATGTGAGAGAAATTATTTTCTTTTGCTTTTTTAGTTTAAAAAAAGATTGAACCAGTATTTGTGAAATAGTAAATTAAAAGAATGGAGTAATGTTATATATGTAGGACTGATTTCTAATGCAAAAAAACAGAGTGAAACTCATATTGTATATATTTATTAATATATCTATTTTATTATTATGGCTTACAGGTAATGGTAAGCTCTAATTCTGTGTCTAAGGAAACAGAATTTTTACACAGGGTTAAAAATGTTATACATATTGTATAGGCTTTAAAAAAGGTAAAAGCTGCTCAACGTACTGGACAGTACAGAATTATTCAATAAATTAGATTATTAAAGTTATTTTATTTCAGTAACTGAGCTCACCATGTAAAACACATTATATAGATTAATCACACACAGAGATTGATGTGTTAAAGCCTTTATTTCAGTTAATTATGATTTTCCACTTACAGCCAATTAAAACAATTAAAACCTGCTTAAAGGTTGTTATTTTCAAAAGATACTTTTAATCTGACAAAGAGCTCCATCGAAACGCATTTTGTAATTTATTGAAAGTGTCTGTGTATGTACTCAATGGTTTATTGGGGATCTCTCTGTAAAAATTACCACATCAGTGCTCTACTGAGGTGTTAAAGAAGCCCAGGTTAGTTTCCTAGCAGCCTTCAGCTCATCCGCATTGTTGGGTCTGGTTTTTCTCCTTTTCCCCTTGACAAAAGCTCAACAGTTTCTCTGTGCTGTTTTGGTCAGTGCTTGTTTCCACACAGACACTATTGACATTAAAGCAGGTGTTGGTATTTATTGGCACAAAGGGCCTCCTCTTGGCAAATCAGATCATTACCTTTTCTTTCTCTGCTCGATGTACAGTATAAACCCTTTGCTTAGAGGCAATCGCTTATAAAAAGAACTAAAAGAAGATATTCACAGGAAGGCTTGTTTTGAGGCTACAGACAGAGATGCATTCTGTCAGAGAGGACATAAGTGCCATAGCTGAGTCTGTGACTGATTATTTAAATGTTTGTGCGAACAGCACCACCCCCATCAGGACAGTGAGATACTTCCCAAGTAACAGACCCTAGATCACCACTGACCTAAAGAAACAGCTAAAGAAAAAGAGCCTGCACAGAGGGAGGCTGGAAAATGAGAACTGAGAAGTATACAAAAGCAACTCAAAGTCAAGGTTTAAGACAGCAAAAAGTTGTAAATTAAATGGCTGAAAAGCGAGCTCCAGCAAAACAATAAATAGATGTGTAGTAAGGGATGAAGAAGATCACTGTTGTCAAGCAGATGGAGGGTCAGATAAATGGGAGTCTGGACAGAGACAATGAATTGAACACATTTTTAAATATGTTCAGTTCAGGCATAAACTTAGCTTCCTCCTCTACAGCTCCCAGCCAATCAAAACTTCCAATCTATGCTTGACCCACATCTTTCCTGTCAAACCTCAAATGTTTATCTTCCACCTCGATCATGGATCCTGCTCCTTCTCCATCTTTGTCTTCAACCAAAACAGGAGATGCTGATGTGGTCCTGAAGGCATGTACAGAGCTTTTTGGGATTCCGACCAAGGAGAAGGTTCCAGCCCTGTGGAAGACATGCTTCCTTGTTCCAGTACCAAAGAAAGCTCAATTATCATTTTTTTAATGATTATAGACCTGTATCCTGAAATTCCACATCACTGAAAACATTTTTGCCAAATTCCAATATGAAGGCCATGGAGAGATTGCTATTAATCCACATGAGTAAGCAAACAAACACATTTCAGGACCTACTGCACCTGAAGATCCCATCATACATCTGCTTCAACAAATCCACTGTCATCTAGACAAAGCAGACAACACTGTGAGGATTATGGTTTTTCAGTCCTCTAGTGTATTTATCACAATTCAGCCAGACTCACAAGGTCAAAAACTCCAGAAGACATAATTGAATCCCTCAAAACATCCCTGGATGGATCACTACCTGACAAAACCTACCTAGTGGTGTAGCGAGGGAAGTATTTGTCTTTGATAAGGGGTGACCCGCGGTCTAATTCCCGATTGTGCAGAAAGGGCATCCAATGTCAAATTTCTACCAAGTCTGTGTGCAAGTGTTACTGACTTGCTGTGGAGACACCTAAATAAGGGAGCAGACAAAACTACTCCTTGATGTCTTCCTGACAAACAGACCAGAGTTTGTGAGACCGAAGGGTTATGTGTCTGACCAGGTGGTCAGCAGCACAGAAGGTCCACAGGGAACTGTACCCTTACTATTCCTTTTCACTCTGTACACCTTGAAGTCGTGTCATCTGCAGAAATACTCAAATAACTATGCTGTTTTCGGACTGACAAGAATGACAAGTAGCTGAGTACAGAGAGCTGGTGGACCATTTTGGCATGGTTGGGGGAACAATAATCTCTTTTTAAATGCAAACAAAAAAATGGTAAATGGACACAATTTATTCGACCCTTTTTAGTCCTAACGACTCAAAGCACTTACACTAGAACCAACCAGCCGCAAAATGCACTCTTTCATACACCAATATGTAGATAAGCAACTTGTGGTTAAGTTAATTGCCCAAGGGCACATCATCATGGCACAGAAAGAAAGAAGAACGCTTTGTTTTCAGTCAGAAGCTTTTTTAGATCCGATGTAATACAAACCCCTACAAGAGATCCTTCCTGCCCACAGAAATCACCAAATACAATGACTTAATCAAGAAACTTGGAGTTACAAAAACATTTTATTTCCTTTTTGGGATTATAAACGTATCTTTCAGTTAAATTGAATTGAACTTTATTGAATTAAATATTTGTATGTGATGGGTCTTGACGCTCTGACTTCAGCTGTATTTCATGCCTTGTGAATCTCTTCCAAACTCTCCCAATTCCTAGTGTGTACTTTTCTAACATATTTTTTCTTCCACTCAACTTTCCTTTAATATGCTCGTATACATTCCTCTTTTTAAAGTCACCTTCTTTTCCACCACCTTTTGTGGCTTACCATTTTTGTGGAGTGAGTCAGTGACTGTCTGCTGAACAATCTGTCAAGTAGGCCAGTCCTTCCCATGATTGTGTTGGCCATAACATAAAATTTCTGTAAGAAAGAGTGTTTTTTAATTGGTCTAATGTAATGTCCAGATTTTTTAGAAAAACTAAATGTTGTATTTTTATAAGTCATAGTCATCAAATTTAACAGAAAGAAACACTTGAAAAATACACTCTGTGTACTTTAACTTTAACAAATTGCTAAAATAAATCAGCGTTTATTCTAATTTACTGAGCTGCACCTGTATGCTTTTCGCCTGATTAAACACACAAAATGTAAGAGAAAGCATTTTTTCTTCTAAGTATTAGAGTCATGAACCAACACAAAATGCAATCAGTCAGTCAAAGCTTGGAAATTCGAGAATCCCAGCTGTCCTAATTTGCATGATTTTTTTTTACTCAAAGGAAATCTAATTGAGAGACTCACAAAATACCTTGATGTCTACTCCAACCACACCATTAAATAGTGAATGATATTTTAACATTTTGTTGTAGATAAGACACCTTATAGAAAGCATCAGTTTTTATATTATGATGGCATACTGGAAGCTGCAAAAGACTGATAAAAAAAGGAAACAAGGACTTTTAAACGTGTTAGCTTGACTCTGTGCAGTTTTATGCTGTATCTAGGTACCTTACTGTATTATTACTGTAAATACTAAAATGTTTAGTGCCATCTATGGGTGAAAATATGGATGTTGCTTGTTAAATACACTTTAGTATACAGCTTTTGCAGTCTAAATTTTTTACTATTAAGACAAGATTTTGCTGAACATGATAAGTGTAGTGTTCTCCTGAAAGTTAAATTGCACAAAATAAAGCAAAGATCTGCAGCACAGTACATTTTAACATGAAGAACTTATTCTTAGCTGTGCTGAAAATATATTCACAGCTTAACAGCAGATTCCACCCCCTGTGTATTTTGAACATGACAGAAAGTTATTTATGCTTCAAGTTAATAGACAGCAGGCAAAGAGATACAAGGTACTAAAATAAGTAAGATGCCAGAAGGATGATCAGAGAAACAATCAGACAGAACTCACAAAGCAAAGATGCAAGCGAGAGAAAGAGAAAAAGAGAGGGCCGAAAATAGTTTACTTTACAAAGAGAACAAAAGCAGATATTTTAATACTAAGCTCTATATTTGTGGCTCTATAACGGATTTGACTGATTGAAAGTTTGAAAATGAACATATAAAACTATTATGAAATTAGAACAGACTTGACAGAGGTCAGCTTGAAGATTGTTTTAGGTAGCTATGGGAGGATGAAAGAAGATTTTCCAATATCATTTCCCAGTCTAAAGTTAGTTTAAACAAAATCCAAGGCTTAACTTTGTAATGGTTTTAGGCTGGACTGCAGCCAGTATTAAATTATTTCATGAAGAAGTTAAGTTTGTCAGGATTTATTATTTTACCTGCATACCCACCCATCAACAGCAAATAACAATTTCATCACAGTTCAGATACCAACGAATGACATTTTCAACAACTGAAACCATATATCTATATACGCTGTGTAAAAATAATGGGTTTTTTTTCTCTGTCTGACAATGTATCAGACAAAACTTTTCCTTGTTTGAGGTCAGTTAGAAATACCTAAATTATTTCAGTTTGCTGAATGTGAGAATAATGAGAGGGAATTTGGTAGA